TTTGAGTCCATCACCATCAAATCTCCATGACCATCCCACTAGTGCAGAGGACGCAACAGAGGCACGGACCGTCTTCAGCTCCTGTGAAATGAAAGACAATTGAAGATAAATAGCAGACAGAGATAAGACAGCGATAAGAGTGATCTCAGTCTTATAGGTTATTCATATCTGTTCCTGTACAAGCGATGCATTAGTGATTCCTGCAGCCTTTTGCATGGGGACCTTTCCTAAAGTATGTTGAAGTCCCCGTGAACCGGAAGTTGCAAACGATTTTTCTCCAGTGCTGTGACGTATTTCCAAGTGAAACGGAATATTGAACAGAGGGCAGGGTTTTACTCTAGCGCTCCTCCTCTCCATCTCTCGCTCATAGCAAACTAACGGTTTGAGGGGAGTGGTTAAGCGTTTCCCCACCCAAGTTGTGAAACCTACGTCATCAGAAAAAGAAACCGTTCCAGACCGGAAGTAACTTTTCAGATTTTGATTAAAGATTACCAAGGTAAAACATTTTTTTAAATATATTTTTACTTGCACGGATTAATTGTTCACCACAAGACTAGTAATATGCGCTAACAAAGTAAATAGGTTCAATTTTGATTTCACGGGGACTTTAAAGCTCATCTCTGGGTCTGTGCCCATGCAAACACAAGAATTCAAAAGCTTTCACGTGTCTTCATTACACTACTGAAAACCATGAAAAGCACCTGCATTTAGAGGCAATCATGGGTGGTTCAACAGAAATAAGACACATTAAATACTGAAATCATATTCAACATCATCACCTGTCCTGCACTAATCGCAACTCAAAAAAAAAAAAAGATTATTACTGTTACAACAGTGTTTATGGTGTTATGCATTTATGCATCGATGGTGTTGTAATGAGTGAATGTGTGCGGTCTAGATGTCATCCATCTACATCACTCTGACAGGATGGTGATAGAGGGCAGTTGTGCTGGAAAATGGAAAGAGAATTAAGCACAACTTCACATCAGAGGACGCATCAGAGACTCTAAGGGTAAAATGGTTGTAAGTGGAAGTCATGTCCTCTCTAATGTGTTGGCACATTAAAGGATCATCTATAATGGACCCAGTAATGGGTTGTCGTCTCACATCAGGACAGCCCTGACAGCTCACCCAATAATGTGTTCAATTCTGTACCCCTGATATTAAATATAGAGCCTCAATCTGAATGGCTATTTTGTGATTTTAATATTTTAGGCTGTCATGGTGTTAATAGCCATGCAGATTGTAATTTGTGCCCATTGCATTTCTGTGGTTTTAGGAAAGTGTAGGTGATGTTTTGGGCAATCGGGATATTATGAAAAGTGATATTTCTGGGCCGCCATCTTTAGCATCTCTGGGTCATTAAACACCATTACAGAGAGTGTATATTCGTTTTTACAGGTGTAAATGGCCTTCTCACATAACCTAGAGCAGGGGTTCTCAAACATTTTGGTGCCAGGGACCCCTTTCAGGGGAAAAAAAATTCCAAGGACCCCCCTCATATTTATAACAGTTATTGAGCACAAAGTTAATGTGTGAGCGGCAAATTAAATATTTTTGCACAAAATGAATGGTCTCCACCCAGGGTACTATGCAGGAATTTCTAAATAGCCTACTGAGGTAACGAAAGTGATCTTGCTAGGAATCACTTAGGATCCCTCACTTAGGAATTTTTGATGTTCTTGATCTGCACATGTGCATTTTAAGGTGTTTTAAGGCCCCACAATTGGATAACTATAGATTTAGTAGAAGCATGTCAGTCAGTGGCATACATTTTTTTTTTTTTTTGTCAAGATGTCACGAAACACAATCACCTATTCCAATCAGGAATGGCCTTAAAAGAGAAATGTTTCAATAATTAGGCCTATTCTGCACACAAATAAAGCCCATAAGCCTATAAATACAATGATAATGGCATTATGTTTAATAGGTGCGTGCGTAGCTAAAAAAAACATACAGTATATGTTAAATATATGAATCCATAATGTTAATCTCATGGGCACAGTATGTTTCTATTGACCTGCTTTTTCCTTTGTTAAAGTTGAGCTTGATTAATACTTTGCAAACTGATTGTTTCAGTCGTTTTTTAAAACTTTTATCTAAAACAGCTGTTTAGTTTATGTTAATTAAGGCCTACATCTTATCTCGCACTTTATGACCGTTGACTGAAACGTCGTGCGGGGGAACTTTGAGTTCACTCCGACTCAAACATTTTGACATTGACGAGCTGTCGTTGTTAGTCTGCTGAAGCACCTCAGACGAGAAGGTCAGTATCATCGCGATGTGCATCCTTGCAACCTCAGTTGTGGGTACGGCCCTGTCACTATGCACTTTTATTTTGATAATGATCAGACTTCTAATGTCAAATCTACAGTAGCAGTGCTAGAACTGACTATTGTGCGCGCACGCGAGACGCCGGGGCGCAATTACATGGGAATTTTTCCTCAGCAGTGGAAACAGGAATACTCTTATTTATGGTCATAGATAAGACAAGAGTGCATCATCCGAAACGGTAAAGTGTCCATTTTTTTATTTGTGTATAGGCTACATTATAAATGACTACAAAATGTCATGCCTTTTAAAAATACAGAAAAGAACCGGATGCGGGTTCATGCCGTCTCTCTGTCTCCTTTCTGGCGCACGTCCCGCAAAATCAACAGCAGCGAATAGTCTACTTGACGCAAAGACATAGATTATCTATCTATAGAAAACTTTAAGTGTCTACTTTGTATTGTTTTATGTTAAATGCTTTATATAAGTTACTTAGGAATAAACAGCATGTTTTCAGATGATAAAGAAAACATGACTCATAGCATGGAAAAAAACGTTAGGTTGTAAATTATTTCGCGGACCCCCTGGCTTTAGCTCGCGGACCACCAGGGGTCCGCAGACCCCACTTTGAGAACCACTGACCTAGAGGAAGTCTACCTGAGAGGCCACAATCTTAAAAAGAAAGGGTTTTTCCACTGATGCAATAAAATAACAATTTTTGGTAGGAGTTTGTGATATATCACCTCCTCCTCTACAGTGAAATGCTCGCTCTGTCTGGATGAGCTTAAATCCACAGTAATGATTTCACATATCACACATGCACACTTCAATAAGCATTCACAAAGATTATCGGGGTAAGGGGCAAAAATCAATAATGTGCTTGCTTTAATGTTAAACGAATTTAATGAAAGCTTGAATATCATTTATAGCCGTACTAAAGCAACAATGGATAATTCATCTCAGATCTTCAAAATAAATTAAAGGAAACAATAATGTTCAAAGTGTAAACTCAATGTGAACGAAGTGTATTCTATGACAAAAATGGTTTCAGTCACCCAGTATAGTTATGATAAAGAGGTTACATTTATGTTTTTGATTATTTGCTAATCCATTTCTTCTTTCTGATTTTGCCACATTTTTTAGTCATGTCAAATCTGGTGTGGACATACAAATTGGTTATTGCTGGAATCTTACCGCATCGCATCACGGTGTAATTCGGTAACATTACAATAAGCTTCCATTTGTTAACTACGTTATTTAACATAACAAACAATAAAAAAGACTTGGTGACCGAGAAAGGATCTTGAGCCGATGCTCGATCTCGGGTCACCCGAAGTGCAACTGCATATGTTAGAGGACTTGCACAAATGGCTATGGCTCCAACAATCTTAGTTAATCTATATTTTAACATTTACTGATACATTATTATAACCAAAAATTGTATCTGTTGTACAAGTTGTACAATTGTATTTTTATTAAGTAATCTTAACATAAATTAATTAATACGGTAACAAATAAATTGCTCATTGTTAATGAATGCACTAACTTGTGTTAACTAATGGGACCTTATTATAAAATTATCACATATATTAAATTAAAATGACTCTATATCTATATTTCATCCAAATTGTTTGGATTATTCGAAAGCACATTAGCGCCTTTTCAATACACTGGCTGACTGAAAATGCAATATATGTTGCTTATGGGTGGCAGAAATATAGCATTTGCAGGTATGATATAAAAGCCAAAAAGTAAACATTTTCACAATAAACTATTTTTGGCATATGTGCAACATTTATTGACTGTAAACTACGAGCCTGTAGAATGCGTAACAGCACTGCGTTTTTACTTTGAAACATGCAGCGTTCACATTTAATTAAATCCACTGCTTTAGAAGTTTAATAATCACATTAAGCCAATTAACAATTCTGTTTTTTCTTTCCCCAAATTTGGAAGCTCTTTACATAATAATTAAGACGTTTCTAACAGCATTTAATTTAAATGTTTCATAGAATTTAAGACTTACAGTAAGAAACCGCGGGGACCCTGTACGGTGGGCCTTTTAGTGGCATCTGTGCATCTCAATGTGTATCGGGTTCCAGATGGTGCCTTCCTCTGCCGAGTGTGACTGTGTGAGAGTTTCTGAATTGAAACATCGTCATTGTGCTTTACCAGAGTGGGATCATGTA